TTATCAGCTCCCATGGACGCAATAATCATCTCTTGGCAAATAATTCTCAAATCTCGTTGTTTAGGTCTAATCTCTTTCCTAACCTCCAATCTCAAATCTCCAACTGCTTATTAGACATCTTAAACTGGATGTCGTGAGACATGCACAAGGCATTTCAAATTCAACATGTCTGAAATTGAACTCATTATCTTTTACCCAAAACTCTTCCTGCTTCCCAACTTTACTATTACTGTTGAAGGTACCATCATACTTGAGACACCCTAGTTTACAATCTAGGTGACATTTTCGATTCCTCACTCTCTCTTATCCACCATATCTAATTAGTCACCAAGTCTAGTCATTTCTACTTTTCTAACATCTCTTGAATATACTCATTCTCTCCTCTAATACTGTCATTGCCAGTGCCCTCAATACCTCACTCTACTGCAAAAGCTTACTAGTTGATCTCCTGTCTCAAATCTCTCTTCATTTTAGTTCATCCTCCATTCAGCTATCAAAGTGATCTTAAAAGCACAGGTCTGATCATGTCACTTATCTCCAATCCTCATTCAATAATCTCCAGTGACTCTCTATTACCAACAAGATCAAATATAAAATTCTGTTTGTCTTTTAAAGGTTTTCATAATCTTGCCCCTTCCTACAATTTCAGAAGTCTTTTTACATATTATGCATTCCTATATACTTTATGATCCAGTGACATTAGCCTCTTTGCTGTTCCTTACACACTGACACAATCTCCAGACTCTGGACATTTTCAGTGCTTGTTTCCCCTTTCTTGGAACTCTCCCTCCCCACCTTTGCCTCCTGGATTCCTTGGCTTTCAAGTCTACCTTGAAATTCTACCTTCTGCAAGAAGCCTTTCCCAAAGAATTTTTACAACCAGTCTCTCTGATAAGAGCCTCATTTCTAAAATATATAGAGAATTAAGCCAAATTTATAAGAATACAAGTCATTCCCCAATTAATAAATAGTCAAAGGATATGAACAAGCAGTTCTCAGATGAAGAAATTAAAGCCATCTATAGTCATATGAAAAAATGCTCTAAATCACTATTGATTAGAGAAATGCAAATCAAAACAACCACATCACACCTATCAGATTGGCCAACACAACAAAACAGGAAAATGATAAATGTTGGAGAAGATGTGGGAAAATTGGTACACTAATGCATTGTTGGTGGAGTTGTAAAATGATCCAACCATTTTGGAGAGCAATTTGGAACTATGCCCAAAGGGCTATAAAAATGTGCATACCCTTTGACCCAGCAATAGCACTTCAAGGGCTATATCCCAGAAAGATCATACAAATAGGAAAAGGACCCACATGTACAAAAATATTTATAGCAGCACTTTTTGTGGTGGCAAAGAATTGGAAATTGAGAGGATGCCCATCAATTGCGGAATGGCTGAACAAGTTCTGGTATATGAATGTAATGGAATACTATTGTGCTATAAGAAATGATGAACAGGCAAGACTTCAGAAAAACCTGGAAAGAGTTGTATGGTCTGATGTTGAGTGAAGTGAGCAGAACCAGGAGAATGTTGTACACAATAAGAGTCATGTTGCACAATGACTAATATTGATAGACTTAACCCTTCTCAGCAATACAAGGATCTAAGACATCTCCAAAGAACTCATGATGGAAAATACTATCCACAATGAAGAAAGAACTATGGAGTTTGAATGCAGATCAAAGCATACTATTTGCTATTTTTTCTTCTTCTGTTGTGTTTTGTTTCCTCTTTCTGGTGGTTCCTCATTTGGTTCTAATTCTTACAACATCACTAATGTGAAAATATGTTTAATAGGAATGTATATGTATAGGCTATATCAGATTGCATGCCATCTTGCGGAAGGAGGTAGGGAGGGAGGGGGAGAAAAATTTTAAACTCAAAAGCTTATGAAAGTAATTGTTGATAATTCAAAATAAATTAATTTAAAAAAAAAAGAAGCCTTTCCCAGTACTCCTTAATCTTAGTACCTTCCAACCAGGATTATCTTCAATTTATCATGTATATATCTTGTTTATACAGTTGTTTGCTTGTTATCTTGTACATTAGTCTATAAGATTCTTGAGAGTAACTGTTTTTTCTAACTCCAGTGCTTAGTGTAGTGATACATAGTAGAAGCTAATAAATGTTTGTTGACTCATTGATTTAAATTGAATATGTTAATTATGGCTTTAAGTAGCTGAAAGATTATGATGTGGAAGAAGGTCTAGATTTGTCCTGTTTGGTTCCAAGGCAAACTTGGCTAGATGTGCTGATAACTTCCTAATACAGAGGTTCAAAAATAGAAAGGACTGCCTCAGCAAGAAGCAGCCTATTTTCCATTGGAAATTTTTTTTATTTTTTTTTTAGGCAATTGGGGTTAAGTGACTTGCCCAGGGTCACACAGCTAGTAAGTGTCAAGTGTTTGGCCTGAGGCCAGATTTGAATTCAGGTCCTCCTGACTTCAGGGCCAGTGCTCTATCCACTGCATCACCTAGCTGCCCTTACCCACTGGAAATTTTAAAGCACAGATCTGATGACTACCTTCTAGTCATTGTCCTTCAATTTCCAAACAAACCCAAATATCTTAAGCAATATTTTGAAATTGCCCCTCTTCTCCAATTCTAATGAATAAATTAAATTGGCAATATGAACAAATGTTCTCACGACATTTCTTATAAATACTATAGAATAACTTGCACCCTAAAAAGAAATGGTTCACAATAAAAACTACTCAAAGATTTCTCAAAAAAAAAAATTAGTACTCCTATTCCCCTTTATTCTAGACATACTTTGTAAATTCTGAGAGTAGGAAATGGTTAGAAAAAGAATGTATTACTACTCATATTTTAACAAAGATTATTAAATGAAGACATGGTTGTGAAATGCAGAACTATGTCAAATTAGAGGCAACATAAAGAATACTTGGCATGAATGAAATCACAGATCTAGACTCTCCCAAACATCCCATGACAAAATAAAGAAAAAAAATGTAATTCTCTCAACCTTTTCCTCAAATGAAAAACAAAACCCTAAACATTAATTTTAAAATCATATCTAAGATTTTTCAATATTTTTCTTTTTAATTAATTCTGATGTGTTCAGACTTCATCAGTTTTATCCTATATCCTTTATCACTATAAAGTAACCAAGATGCAGTACACCAGAATTACACAATGTTGAATAAAAAAAGATTAGGAGACATGTGAAAAGGATTAGGAATTGGATTAGAGAGATTTACTTATTACTTATGTCCTACTACATCAACTTGCCCTAAAAAGTAATTAATATATAAGTACTCCGTAAGGGACTATGTTAATAGATGGATTTCAGTAAAGTGTTTCCTAGGAGACTATTTCTCTTATCAATAATGTCTGCATTTTTCAAAGTTATCATATTACAAATTTTGGGCCTCTTTTATAAGAAATGCAACTAATCAATATGAAATCAAATCCTAAATCAATAATAAAGAGTTAAAACAGTGCCTGGAATATAATAGTTAATATCTCAATCTTTATCCTGATCCCCAGGTCCATTACCTAGGCTAACTGACTAATGAACGAAAACAAGGAAAAGAGAGACAAAAGACTGGAGGAAACCAAATGAAATTTTTTTGCCAACTTTGAGCTGCATATGATATTTATTTTCTGAAAGAAACTAATGGCTCCATATGAACACAGGTTAATACCTAAAATTTCACATATATTATTAGAGATTGTGTTGAAGGAAGTGGGATCTATGCTTATTCTCCCCAAATCTAGCACAACTTATGAACTACGTGACCATGACAATCAATTCATCTTAAAAAGAAAAAAAGAGATGAATGGTGAATTGAACTAAATCTAAAGTAGGGCACATGTAATAAAAATAAAATTTTTTTCTATGGAGTAATTATGTAACCTTTTAAATACTGGATCCATAGCCACATTAACATGAATTCATGAATATTTATCAATAGTCAAGAATACCCAGGATGGAAAGGGAACTTGACATAGTGTATAATGAGGTTTAGTCTGGAAAAGAGAAGACTTAGCATGAACATAATAAATGTCTTCAAATAGGGTTATTTTGCAGAAAATAAATTAAAATTACTCTACTTAGAGTGCATAACTAGAAACAGCTGCAGAAAAGCAAATTCAACAAAGAAAAACTTCCTAACAATCAGAGAGGTACAAAGGTAAAATGTGGTGCCTGGGGAGATAGTGATTCCACCTCAGTGAAAGTCTTCAAGAGGAGCCTGGATGACTACTTTTCAGGAACATCTTAGAGGTGATTACTATTTAATAATAGATTATACTAGTTTCTAAGGTCCCTACAAAGCAGAATGGGAATTAGAAAGATTATAAATCTTTTACATAAGAATACTCACTATCAAAATAATGGCATTATGCTACTTTATTTTTATCATTTTGTACAATTATTGTAAAATCCAGTTATTAAAAAAAAAGTTGTTATTTCATTAAGCATTCTTTTAGTGTATTTGACTCAATGGAGACAGAATATTTGTCACACAATTGACCTGGATAAAAATAGGAATTTATTAGTCTGTAAGAATTTATATAGATCCTATACAACATGAATATCAATGAAGCTCTATAACAAAATAAATAAAGATCATCTATGCCCATAAACCATTAAAGCTTAATGAGTTCAGGCCCACTAATATCCTTTAAATCCTTTTATACAAATCACCAAAGTATTTGATAAATTCCAAAGATGACAAATGCCTAAACATTATTTGCCCCAATGTTCAACAAGAAAACATAAGGGAATTGACCTTCAACATTAATAACCTAGCTTTTATTTTTCTCACAGCTTAAGAAAGTTAAAATTTTGTCTTCAAAAATGGATTGTTATTAAAACAATATATTCTGTTTAAATTAAGAAAAACTAAATAATTCAAAGATTGTATAAATACAAACATGATTATACACCATTTATAATTTTTTTTTACTTTTAAGGTTTTTTTTGCAGTTATTAAAGCAATCACCTCTCTCAATGTCAACTTACCTAAGTTGTTTTGCATAGTTGATTTCAATCTCTGTCCGTTCCTTGACAAATTTGATGTATTTCTCTAGAATATCAATTCCCCACTGTGTGTGTTTTTCTAAGTTGTCAAATTGATCCTGTTAAAAACCAAGGAGACAGTTCAGAGTTTTGTTCTGTTTGGGCAGAACTTAAAATAATAATTCCCACAACACTAGTGCTGTACAAGAAGTATTACTATATTTTCTGTGATTTTAGGTAGATACTTAGTGAATTATTTAAAATTAGCATTACCAAATTTTATTTGAGAGCTGCCTTGTTCATAACACATATTTCAATGGGAATAGTGTTTGTCACACATAATTTCTTTGGATATTGCCATAAGATCTTGACAGTAAAAAAAAAATTTTTTTTTTTGATTCCCATTAATTCAAAATCACCTTAATACTTACCACTCCAATTACTAATCTGAGTGGCATTTCAAAATAAGTGTCTGGAATTGGTGATAGTACTCTTAGAATTAAAGCTAAATTTAAGTTTTTAAAAAGGAGTTACTTAGTAAAACCCTTCGCAAGACATATTATTTCCTCACCAATTGTTGCTAATGTTATTCTTAACACATTATTGCAAATAGTAAAGATAGTATCACTCAATGACCAAATTAATTCTTTTGCTTACTCTTTAAACACAAAGTTAAAAAAGTTTTTAGTCCAAATTGTTCCTTGATCAGGTATTTTTGTATCATAGTGTTAACTGAAATTGACTAGGCCTAAGGCTGTGAAATCCAAACATAAGTAAATCCTGAACAATTCCCATTCTTATAGGAATAAAAGTAAAAGCTCTAATCTTATGCTATTTAAAAAGAAAAGGCTTGCTAATGAAATTCATGTTAATAAGACTGAAGAACTACTTAAGCTACTTAGAGGGGGAAAGCCCACTCAAACAATTATATAATCAATTACAATTATTCTTATTTCTTTATTACAGCAAATACCATAATTATCATATTAACTAAGAATTCTAAATAATTCCCACCCCTCTCCCCTTTTCCATTTTTAGTAAGTAACAAATTCCCTCCTCCAGCCTAAAGCTTCTCTTCCTCCTCTAGGCCTCACTGATACTGGTTTTAAAGGTTTGAAAATCCGGTAAAAATTCATACTACATTTACAAAGTTTTCAAAGACAAAAGAATAAGAGAAATTACATTGTAGAAGTGCCTGGGAATACCCCAAATTCATTGCTGTACTGAGACCAATTCATCTGCATATTTCTTCCTGGCTATCATATCAGCAATCATTTTCTCTTTAGACCTAGGGTATACAATATAAAGAACTATGTCTGCTAGTTATGGTACTCAAAACTATTGATTATTTTTGAAGATATCTATCTATATTCAGGTTAAGTCTTACTTGAATATTGCTGGTATTAAATCAACAATGTGTTTTCAATAAAGTTATCTTGGCCTCATGAGTTAAGAGATATTCTAAAACGAGGCTTGAAGTAAAATTGATCTTTATGTTATAAATTTTACCCAGAAAAAGAAATACTTCCAAAGTTATCTTTTAAAAATTCTATGCTTAATTCCAAAAGACTCATGATGAAAAAATGTTATCCATATCCAGAGAAAGAACTGATGGATTCTGAATGCAGAGCAAAGCATACTATTTTCACTTTCTTTTCTATGTATTTTTTTCCTTTTGTTCTGTTTCTTCTTTCATAATATGACTAATATGGAAATATGCTATATAAGATTGCACATATATAACCCATATTAAATTGCTTACTATCTTAGGGAAGGGGAGGGAGAAAATTTGGAACTCAAAATTTTATTAAAATGTGAAAAACTGTTTTATATATAATTGGAAAAAATAATATTTAAAAGAAAAAAATAAAGTTTGAAAGGACCTTTAATATTTAAAAAAATCTATGCTTTAGAAAAATATCCCTGTCAAATCTATCGGTAAAGGAAATGGTTATGACCAAACAAGAGATAAGATCATGGGAGGTAAAATGGATAATTTTGATTACATGAAATTAAAAAGCTTTTGCACAAACAAAATCAATGCAGCCAAAATACGAAGGAAAAGCAGGAAACAGGGTGGGGAGGCATTTATGGCAAGTTTCTCTGATAAAGGCCTCATTTCTCAACTATATAGGGAACTGAGCCAAATTTATAAAAATAAAAGAGATTCTCCAGTGGATAGACAAATGGTCAAAGGATATAAAGAGGCAGTTTTCAGAAGAAGAAATCAATGCTATCAATTGTTACATTTAAAAATACTCTAAATCATTATTGATTAGAGAAATTCAATTTGAAATAACTTTGAGGTACCACCTCACACTTATCAGATTGACTAACTTGAAAGAAAAGGAAAATGACAAGTGCTAGAAGAGATGTGGAAAAATAGGTAAACTAATACACTGCTGATGGAAAAGTTAACTGGTCCAATTTTTCTGGAGAACAATTTGGAACTATGCCCAAAGCTTACTGCCTATTTCCTAGTTTCCTTCATAGTTTATCTAAAGTATCAATTCCTATATGACACCTTTCCTGATCCCTCCCAGCTGCTACTGCATCCCCATGTCAAAATTATTTTGTACTTAATATGCACACATTTGGCATTTATTTAGACTCATATATGTGATTTCCCCTGAAAGAATGTAAGCTCCTTGATGGCAGAGACAGTTTCATTTTTGTCTTTTTTTTTTCTTTATACATATTTTGTCTTGCCTGGCACATAGTAAGCGCTTAAAAAATGCTTGATTGATGACAAACATTTCTTCAGAAATGTACTTAGCCAGAAAAAGTCCTACTTCAAGAAAAATAATAGTAAATTCACAAACACAGATGTGAAACAATGACCCAACAGAATTAAGTTGCTTGTGTAAGGACTGTTTTGCTTTTGTCTGTATATTTCCATGGCGTAATAAATTATAGATGTTAAATGTTAAAATGACAACTGTAAAATAGACAAGTAGATTCCAAAAGGAGTTACTGGTCAGTAGATTGTGCAGTGGATACAGCACTGGGCCTAGAATGAGGAAGACCTGAGTTCAAATCCAGTCTTAGACAAAATTACAAGCTATGTGACTCTAGGCAAGTCACTTAACCTCTCTTTGCCTTAGTTTCCTCAAGTATCAAATGAAGATAATTTTACTATCTACCTTAAAGGGTTGCTGTGAAGATAACATGAGATAGTATTTACATCTTAACTTGAATATCCCACAGACATTTTAAACTCAACATGTCCCAAACTGCAATCATTCTTTCCCTACAAACTCTTCCCTCTTCCTAACTTCACAATTACTGTTGAGAACCACCATCTTGGTTACACAGATTTACAACACAGGTGACACCCTTGATTTCTCACTCTTTCACCTCCCCACCACCCCCATATCCAATCAGTTTCAAGTCTTATTGTTACTACCTTTACAATATCTGTCTCCTTTTCTCTTCTGACACTGTCACCACCCTGGCATATGTGACTAGATAGAAATGGAGGAGGAAAATATTCAGAAATATCATTATTATTATATTAATATAATTATATTATAATAATATACATAACTTATATAATTATATATTTATATAATTTAATTTAAATTTAATATATTATATACTTATATAATTAATATATTCAATTTAAATAAATTATATAATTTTAACTTAAACATAATATGTAATTTTATATATAATATAATCAGTTTGTATAATTATAATATATTATATATTTATAATAATAATAAAATATTCAGAAATAAAAGTAATGTCAAAACAAAAGACATCAATAAAATAAGTAAAAACAAAAGCCATCAGTAAAAATAAGTTGTTGTTGTTGTTTTTTTAACTTGCTAACTTTACCATTCTGTTAAGAAAAGGAAAGTATAATGAGTTTTACTGAGGTGTTCTCTCTCCTGTATCATATTCACTTAGTAACAAATCCTTAAAAAGGAGAGATGATTGGGGGATTTAGCCCAGGGTAGCGAAATTCAGAGAGGCTCAGAAAAAATTGTATTTTATTAGAGAGAAACAACTGAGTTTCCTCTAATTAGTAAGAAAAAGTAGTTAAAATAGAAAAATACCAAACCATGCCCCAGGATAATTCCTGCCTGGCTGGGTCCCAATCTTGTCCTCTTCCTAAAAGTGGCCTCCAATTCCAGAGAGCTCTTTTTTCCCCTCATACTATAATATGACAGGGTCTCTTTCCCATGGGACTTCCTCTGTCCCAATACTAAATTTATTTAAGATTTATTTGAGAACACCTCTTATACTGCTTGTCCCAGGGCATATTCTGTCATGCTTATCCTAAATATCAGAACTGTTATGCTTAGTTACAGTTCTGTTTCGGAAGGTAAACTGATGTTTTTTTTTCTAAGTCATTGGTAGGGGCAGAGGGGGAATGTGTTAATTCTATCCTTTGCTACATGGTAGTATCATTACCAATAAGGTACTCTGGCTAATATTCTTGAACACATTAAATTAATATTATCACTAATAACTGGAAATGGAAAGTTAATGAATGGTTAGCTTTTTCAAACAGAATCTATGAATTCAGAATGGAAAAGGAACATAACTCATAACTCAACAGAGAGTTAGAAGGGAACTAAGAGACCATCTAGGTCAATCTCGTCATCCTGTAGGTAAGGAAACCAGGCTCAATGAGGTTAAATGATTTGTCCAGGGTTACAAAAGTAGTAATGATGCAATCAAAACTGGAACCAACATCCTCTGGTTCCAAATATAGCACAATATTCTTTACACTATGATGATGAGAGAAGTCTCAAGCATTATAAAATATCTCTCCTATTCTTTGAAGTCACCAGAATTAAAAAGTAGAGTAAGTTAACATTACAAGGATTTATACTAAGTTTTTAAATATTCAACATTACAGTAGAACTTGGAACCAAACAAACAATATTTGGCAATGGCTGGGTACCTGGTCATTTTTTTTTAAACAAACCATTTCATCAATTCTTTTTTGTCTTTACGTCAGTTTTGTCCAACCCCATCTCCATAATAAACCCTACCATAGGGTCCACCAAAAATTTTCTAAGATTTCAGCAGAACTGAAAGCCTATTTTTAATATATATAGATAAATTATGAATTCTTATGTTGTACATTGTATTAATAGCAGGAATG